CCCCCCCCCCAATGGTGCACAGCCCCTGCCACCCGCAGCAGCAGGAGGCAGTGGGCCCTTGGGGTGTTCATGGCCTGTGCAGGCGCAGCCGTCTGGCAGAGCCCAGCTCCAGCCAGTTCTGGGAGCTTCATGTGGTGATGGCAAGGGCCAGCCCACATGTATCACACGGGCTCCCCATGCTTCATGTACAGCTCCCAGGACTCGCATGCCACAGGAGGAAAGCTCCACCTGATGGAGACGGTGGCCTAGCCCTGCTTCCTACCGCCACATGCAGCTCCTAAGACTCCACCGGGAAGCAGGGAGCAGCACGTGGCAGCAGGGAAGTGGGGAAGGCAGCTGGCTCCATTGCATGAGGCTTCCCCCCAGTGGTGCGAGTCCTGGGAGCTGCAGTGCATGTGAGCTGTGGGGAGCTGCATGCAATGGATCCAGGCCAACCTGGGCGCCACACTCCAGCTGCCCCAATGGGTGCAGGCCCTGGGATCCCAACAGCCCCAGTGCCACACTCCATACTCCCACTCTGCTGTAGCTTTCCTCTGCTCACTGCTGCTTCCCTACTTGCTGCCTGGAGCGAGCGGTGCAGCAGGGACACAAGGAGGAGCTTCTGGAGGCTGGGGAAGCTGAGCACTTCCCCTGGCGGCTGCAGCAGTGGCAGCAGCGGCCCTACCTGTAAGCTGTGCATGTTGGCTGGGGCCCTCCTGTGCATGAGGGTGGGCATCTGTGGGCCACATCCAGCCTGCCCCAGTTCTAGGGACCCCTGGCTGCCCAGCATCCACACTGAGGCTCTTTGCTTCTCTGTCTGAACTTCTGTACACGTCGGTTTTTCTCTCTGGAAAACAAACCTGGGAGAGTTGTCTTGGATGATATCTGAATGTGTGTATGCAGTCTTTGGGTGACGTGTACATGAGAGTGTTAACTGAAAAAAATGATGGCCATACACACTCCTGGCATGTAATGAATAATAGAGCATGCTCAGCGCTTTGTTGGGTGGGGTGGGGTTCTGACACCAACTCTCCTTTGGGCAAGATGCTGTCAACAAAATATAAATATTTAACTGAAGATCTCCTGAAGTTTGCAGTCAGCAGTTTAGTGAGAACAAAAACCAAGGGACAGACACATTTCAGGTGGTTAAAATTGCTAATAAATGGTTATCATGGACTGTGTTGCACACTTGTTCTTCATCTATACTTGATATTTTATCTGAATTTATTGACTAGAATCAGCAATGCCATAAAGTACCTGACGAGGATAATATTATTTTTTAGGCATATTGTTTACAGCTTGCACCATACAGTTCCTTTGAATATGTTGGATGTCCCAGCTTTTACAGTCATTCCCTATTTTTTCCCCTTCAATAGTGTTTTAACAGATTGAGGATTTATTTATTTATTTGCGTTAACATTTCCAAATACCAAGTACCTGGCCTGCAGCTACTTCTCTACTGGTTTCACATAGCTGCTAATACTTAATCATGCCCAGCACCAATGAATGGCTTCTTAGAGATTCCCAGCTTTTGGCTTATACTTCCCTTTTATCCGAAACTGGAATTTCAGCATCCTTCACAAAACGTTAGCTCAATACATTCTTAGCAAGGCTAGGTCTCTTATTTCTACTACTGTTGATATTTGACCACTCTTCCACTTCAGCATAAATGAAATTTAGACAAATAAATATAAATGCAAACATTCATATCTGTACAGCCTCAAACCGAAACAAATCTAATGAGAGGTTTAATACTGGAGAATGATTCAATAGGAACACAGATTTATGCTCATAAATCATTCCCCACCCTTGGATTTAGGAGGAAATTGAAGGGTAACTCACTTGAGCATGTTAGTTTGATGGACATGTAGTCTCTTCCACAATCTTTCTTGTAGTGACAGCGCAGCCAGTTCAGGAGGCAGAGTCCGTTACCACACTGGAGCTCCTCTTTTTTACAAGGCAGAATGCTCTGTTCATCTGAAAAGAAGAGAAACAATGGATGGTTTTGGCAGCGCACATTTCCTACCTGAGTAACAATGCTACAGCTCTCTGGAAAGCCAATTTTCCTTTTAACCACCTTTAAAAGGCTTGGGAGAGCAAAAAACTGCCTCCTCTTTGTCAGATATCAAAACCTAAGACCCAAACAAACGTGTGGTGCATTTTTATGAATCATTTATATGATGCTACAGACAAATGAAGCGTGGGTAAAAGCTATTAAACAAATCACAAAGGACACAATTTTCCAAAGTCTTTGACTCTTATGTGACTTACGTGCTTTAAAAAAAAAATCTACTTAGTGTTTGGCGCAGTCAGCTTGTGCACAAAAAGGACAGCAGAACAGGGAATAGGGTGGTCTAACAGTCTCCATAATCATGAAAGGTTGAGGTAGCTATGGATGGGAACTTCTAGTGATCCTTTTCCAGTTTGCAAAATACCATTAATAGAGTGGAACCAAATCCTACTGCAAGTAGTTGCGGGGCAGGAGGTGGTGGTGGCGGCTTGTTTTTTGCTGTGACCTGAATATCAGAACAACTTGAGTTGGGCTGACTATTGGAGAATAATGCTCATGTTTGGGTTCACAGAGACTTTTAGGACCAGCACAAGGTCTTCTGTTGAATGCAATCGCTTGCTCTTTTATATTTGAACAGCCTGAGACTTTCTTCCTACGTGAGGAATGAAGCATGTTCCTGTCACTACTCCATAGCCCTGCCCATGACTATTCCAGATCCTTGAGGAACAGAAGTTGAATATCAAGCTCCCCTATCCCCACTCCATTCATTACAGATGAAGGGAAATTTTCTCTTGCCCTATAACTGGCGGCTGTGTTAGACCACACTCCACCAGCAAAGTAAGAAGGAATAGTTCTCTATTCTCTGTCATTAGGGAGACACTGAGGTTGAGGCTTTATCATTTTGAACCTTGAAACCAAGCCATTTTGAATCCTGAGAAGAATGAATTCAGGGCTCAAATGTTTAGGTCTGTGCTTACTGTACCAGAAAACAGTCATTCATCCCTTCCCAGAGGTTGGGAAGTGTAAGAAAGCACACAACATAAATTCAGCTCCTGACTGGCCACTTCACCCAGTCATTTTATGGAATATTCACAAACAAGCATGTGAGCAGCTACTGGTTCTCATGTTGGGGGAACAGCTGGTTTTCATATAAACACTCAGATTGTGTACCCACATCAGACTATAAAAGCATCCTGCTATTTATCTCTGGTTGTTCTCTTTGGTATATTAGTTGTCAAGTTGTGGAAGAAACCGTGCCAGGTAGAACACAGGTGATGTCTCATACCATGCCAGTAATGAACAAGTTGAAAAGAGCTGTCTTTTAGCTTTGAAATCTGTCCAGATTCTTGATTCAGTACTTGTGAAGTACAATCACAGAAATGGGGAATGGTCTGGAAAGTATTCAGGAAAATAAATACCCATGGGTTGTCAATACCTTCTTTACAAAAACAATTTGGCCCTTCTGAAATTTCTGAAAGATGCTCATTTTTGCAAATTTTTCAAAAACTGGGGCAGGGGTAGCAACGCAGCGTATAGATAGATGTCACCTTTGTGCCACAGTTTTCATGGTGACACATAGGGAAAGCAAACAGATATTTATACCATTTTTCATGTGACACATGCCCAAATTGGCACACCCAACAAAAGGTGGTAAGAGTTTCTCTTGCTTTATTGCAACAGACATCTGTTAGGTTTTTGGCACAAGGTGTGGGCACCCTGGGCAGATGATCTTTTGTTCCTTGGGAATTCCCATAAAGGATTGGGCCCCTCAAGTCGTGGGAGCACCTGTCCAACTTTCCCTTCTTTGAGATGTGCCACAGGGGACCTCCAAGGCACATGTCTGCAAATGGGGAACATGTCACCCATTGAGTGACCAGGCGGATCACTGGGCGGGACAACAGGTGATGTGTGTGTGGTTCATCCAATGAAGTGGATCAGCTGTGCTGGGACACATCCTGGCACAGGTGACCCACTTCATTTAGCAACGTCTATTGATACCCAAAGACAGCATAGAAAAAATGGTCAGCTATTATAGAGTAAAATAATAGTTTTGTTGCTAATTAGTAATAAAGACCCATAAGCATAAAAAAACAGGGGTCAATTTTACATTCTTCCCAGGTCCTAAAGCTGCACTTAAGTCATTTTATCAAACTAACCTTAACTTTCCAAATTAATGAAAATAAAAATCAGACCTCAAACTGAAAATACCAGCTCTTAGAAGCAAGAGAGCAGGAGACCAATGTGGAAATCAGCATCCAGCTGAAAAGAGGCATTCTGATTAATTCAGGTTTTTGTTTGCTCTCCAATATTTTTAACTCAGAGCCTTTGTGTCAGCTCTCATAGCAGGAAAACCATGCAGTTAGGAGTAATTGTTCATGATTTCCAATTCTCCACACAGCTGCTCCAGTGGAAAATGTCAGAACCCCCAAATGCATTTATAAATATCACCAGCATTGACAGCACACTGTTACTATATGTCTTAGACCATACACTTGTAACTTGGCAGCTCTGCAGTCTAAAGGGCAATAATCAGATAATTTAGTTTTGTTCTTTTTGCATGTTTTGGATAATGTTCCCTGAATAGCTAGGGCACTTGTGGCAGTTGCTTAAAACATGAACTTGAGGGATAAGAACATGCCCCGTAAGAGAACAGAATTCCCAGCAATCTAAAGATTTACTTATTTTAACAGCAGCTAAAATATTTAATAGGGAAGCAATGTTAATAACATTAATATGAAGGGCCAGCTTTGCCCCTTGAGGAAGTGGGATCAATTTCATTGACTTCTTATCAGTCTAAATTTGGAGAAGCAGACTCCTGCAAGACCTCTGAGCAGGTGCAGGGAAAATGATAGCAATGAAATTACTCTTGAAAAATATATTGGAGGAAGTGGCCAAGCATTCCCCACTGCTTAAGTCCATTATTTCAGACTCTAGTTTGAAAATGTCTATGGACTTTTTCCAGTCCACTCCGTTCCACCCCACCCCCCTTCTCTCTCTCTGGTCCCTAGCACAGTTCCCCTCTCTCATGCTGCAGGATCTTACTGCTATTCTCTGCAGTTTCTGCCACCCAGAACTGCTAGCTTTTCTCTTGTCTTTTCTTTATTTCAGTTGTCACCTAAAAAACTCATCTCTTCCCTCACTCATAAATCACTTTTAATTTCTTTCTTCTTTTAGTAGTTGTTAGGATGTGTAGGCCGCTTGTTGGTGTGCTGTGTTGTATTATCAGTGTAGGAGAACTCTGTGAGCTACATGTAACAGTGGAGAATTGTGCTTTGGAACTGAAAGCAGTACAAGCTGATCACATCTGGAAGACAGCAGGCAGGCAAAACTGACTCCCTGTCTCTTCCCCAAACTGGGCAGTCCCTGTTTTCAGGATGAGGCAGGGGGCTTTGCCGGTTCCTGCCCATTTCCCCTTGCTGCCAAGATGAGCAGTGGAATGGTGATTTAAAAGCTAGCTGGGACAGGGGCTCCAGGATCTCCCCAGCCTGGCTCCTGCCAGCTCCTTCTTGCCACTCCACCACCCAAATGAGCAGAGAGGCGGTGATTTAAAAGCTGATGACTGGAAGCAGGGTCCCCAAGCCCCAGTTGCTGGCTTTTAAATCATCACCTCACCACTCACCAGGGTGGAGGGATGGCAAGAGGCAGCCAGGTTGGAGCAGTTTTCCCCAAGCCCCAATCTCAGCCACTGGCTTTTAAGTTACTGGGGAAAGCCTCCACACACCTCACTCCTGGTCTCTCTGGCTATTAAACTGCCACCCCCCTGCTGCTCAGAGGAGTGGTGTGGGAGGGGAGCAATGGGAAGCTGCAGGATCTGGGAACTGTGTGTGTGAAGGCTTTCCCCAGCCAGTCCTGGCCTCTTTAGCTTCCTTCCAGCTGACCCAGACCTGTGTGGGATGAGGCAGGTTGCTGTGGCTGCAAGGCTCAGGAGGCAGAGCAATGCCCCTGCCTGGAGCTGCACAGAGCAAGGCAGGCTGCAAAGCTCTTGCTGCAAGGCTTCTGGAGCCTTGCTACAGCAGAGGAGTGTGCTCCTCCGCCTCATTACATTCCTTTGGCTCAGGCTGGAGGAGTGCAAGGAGGGGCTGTTCTTCTGCAGGGGATACTGAGCATTCCCATGCTGGCTGTCTGTGGCTTTTCAGCAGGTGCCAACTGTGCCTTGACAGCCTGTCCCCTTTCCAGATAGCGGAGAGGACAGGCTGTCAATTAATGGGCTCCCCTAAGGGCGAGGGTGGCCCAGAGTATAGTATGCGGCTGGAGGAGCAACTGTATGGTCCAGCTCCTGAACTATTTTCCTACTGGAAGAAATTTCTTCTGGTGGAAATGAACATCTGCTCACACCCTGTGTCTTACTCCAAAAAAAGAGATATAGGTTATCTACCCTGAAGGGTTTCCATTGCTGCAAAATATTTATTGCAAGTAAAGACTGAAGAAGCCGAAGGATGAAACATGGGCAAGGAACTAATTTAATTCTGTGTTAACCTGGAGTAAGTTGGGAACAATTTAATGGAGAACACCCATTTTTTACATAGCACTTTTTGTCCTTAAATTTCAAATCGCTTTCCCAAGGTGGGTAATCATCCTTATCCTTATTTTAAACTGAGGCATGAGACTGTAAGGACTTCTCCAAGGTCATCCAGCAGGCAACAGCAGAGTTGGGTCTAAAAGAGGGGTAAAATGTGCTGTTTGAAATTATTACAGGTGTTATAATGCTAATAACTTGAACTTAGTGCTGATGGGATGAGTAATGAGTAATCAAATTTATTTTGCCTGGTGCATTTAATTTAATATATTTCCTAAAGACACAAGGGACCTAATGCCATTCCATACTTGTAAGTGCAGGTATAGTTTAAATTACACCAATAATTTACACAAGAGAAGACTGATGGGGGATTTGATAGCAACCTTCAACTACCTGAAGGGTGGGTCCAAAGAGGATGGAGCTTAGTGGCAATGCGTAGGTGGTGCACAG